CCAATAGCAATTTCCTCCCTGCTCATCCAGCTGTACTAATGGTTTTCTTGCTGCCTGCCCTTTTTGCCTCTGTCTGCTCCCTGGGCCCAGTGCTAATGCCATGTGTTTTAGGTTTTAATTATGGACGTCTTCCACTTCCACGTACCGATTTCTGTTTCAGTATCTACTGCTGAATTGCAAATCACCCCCAAACTTAGTGGCTTAAGACAACAACGATTTATTCATTTCTCACAATTCTGTGGTTTGATCGGACAGTTGGTCTTCGGGTCTTGCGTGGTGTGCTGTGTTTAGCCATGTCTGTGTGGAGGCTTGGATGTTGGGATGATTCTATGCGGTTTCCGGACCTCTTCCCCACGTGGTCTCACATCTTCAAGAATGCTCGTCCAAGCTTCTTATATGCAACTGAATTTTAAGAAGCCCAGGCTTCTTACATGCAGTGAGGGAACTGCAAGACCTTTTAGGGTCTAAACTCTGGAACCTACACAATGGCACATTCTATTGGTCAAAGCAAGTTACAAGGCAAACCCAGATGCAAATGGCAGTTGGAGAAAGAGCAACGCCTCTCGAGCAGAGGACCAGTAAACTCACATTGCAAAAGAGCATGGAAGGAGGCTGGTTCAGCAAGGACCATTATTTAAGGATTTTCCACATTTATTTAAGTTTAAGCCGCCTGTTAGGCACTGAAGTAGAGACGTCAAAAGGGCACGTGGCTGTGCGTGCCTTGATCTCTGAGGCGGGCTGGGGCCTGGAAAGTGAATTTGGGAGTCATCCACATATAGACATGATGCTTTTGTGAATTGTCCTGCCCACCCGGTTCCTGGTTGCTGTGTAAGTTTGGACTGTGGATGGGACAGGGTGTGAGCGGAGTGCAGCCCACTGCAGCCAGAGCTGGGGGGAGGCTGGCTGGCGGGGAGAGAAACCTTCTGTTCCTGCCGGGGCTCCAAGTCCCCCTCCCCACTCGGGCAGAGAGCACTTCGCTAGGCTTCTCTTTCCCTTCCCACCTCAATAGAGCCCCCAGGGCTAGGGATGAGGTTAGGACAGCTTGCCTGCACGCAGAGGACGGAGGACGGGGAAGCATTCTACTGCCTTGCTTTGCCACCTACAGAAAGGAACCCAGGAAACTGAGGACCACATTGCCCTGCTCCATCTTCTTTCTGTTGTGTTGCATTCCTGCCAGGTGGGAAAGCTGCACGAGCAACCCGATTCTACCACTCCTGGCTGTTCTCAGCCTTCATCTAGAAGACAGTAATTGGGCGTCGTCACAATACTTTGTTAACCCAAACCTGATCACCTTTATTTTACACTTTTCTGTGTTTCTCGGGAAGAAGGGGCTCTTCGCTCTCATTGTTTTAATATCTGGAAGAAGGGAAAGCAAGAGTGAGGCTGAATCTAGCATTTCTGAAAGAAGGAGGTGATTTCAGAGTTATTCCAAACCAGCTGGAAAGACAGGGGAGACCACCCCAACTTGTCCCAAGCAGGAAGCAAAGAGGAAGAGGGATTAAGAGTTGGAGACTGGGGTGCAGATCAAGATTCTAGTGCTACCCACTCTTTTAGGAGTTACTCTTCTCTATATTGTCCCTTAAGAAAGAGAAAACTGCCTTATGCGCCTCGTTCCCATCACTGCACCAACCTCTACCCTCCTGATAACTTAGGAGGAGCTGAGAATCTGTATTCTTTCCAACCTTAACGCAGTTTTCCGCACATTTGTTAACTCTCCAAGATCCTATTTTTAAACTGGTTCTGCTAATTTTTGCATTCTCCCCCTGCCTGCTTCCAGGGCGGGGTTGGGCCGGGGCTGGGCTGGGGCTGGGGTGAGGCACGTACAAGAGTTTCTGGCTCCATCTCTCATTTCCTGAGCTGAGCTGAGTTGTACTAATTGACCTCAAGGGTCTCAGCTGTGCTAAGCTGGGTGTTTGTTAGATCTCGTTAGGCTTGTGATTAGTGCAGAAAATCTAGGTCAGAGGCAACTGGTTGGAGTGATGGTCTCAGGGGGTGTGAATAAAGGCGGGGAATAGCAAACAGGTTCCTGGTTCTGTGGGTGGGGTGAGCCAGGGACAGGGACCGGTGAGACTGGTGTCATACACACAGACGGAGAGACACAGGGTCACGCGCAGAAAGGCGCTCAAACTCTTGGGGCGCGAGTGTGCTGGCGTGCGTGTGTGTGTGTGTGTGTGTGTGTGTGTGTGAGTGTTGTATTTGCTCCCGCGTTTACTCGGGTTTCTTTCCAACCTCTCCTTATATGGTGTGGCTCCAGAGCAGGCTGGGGATTGGCTGCTGTGCTTGGGAGACTGGGAGCTTGGAAGAAAGGAGGAAGAGAACTGTACAGAGCAGGGGCTGGGAGTGAGAAGGGGAGGGGGCTGGAGCCGAGCTTCGAGCTTCGAGGGCCGTGGAATGGGGCTGGGCCCCCCGCTTGCCTGTGAGGTGTAGAAATGGGAGAGATTTGGGGGCATGGTTTTGGTAGAATATACCGGTGACAGAGGGGCTGGGAGCTAGGGTCAGAGTTGCAGGCTCAGCAGGGCATGCTCTCCGAAGGCTGGAGCAGGACTTAGAGAAACTTGTGGGGTTCTCCGCTTTTCTTCTCACCCTAAACAGCCTACAGCTCTGCGAAATAGCATGTGCAGGAACCCATCAGCTCTTCAGGTCAACACCACAGACATTTTCCTCCTGCCCCCCAGACCGCTACTTCACAAGCGAGTGCGGGGGAACAGGCAAAGTTGAGGAAAAGGTCACTGAAATATGCAATGGCATTTAGTTCTTCACGGGTCTCCACTCCTTACCCCGTTTCAACTCTGCATCCTGGATTCCCCCATCTCCCCAAGCCTAGGGCCTCCCAAAAGAGTCTCCCTTTTGGAGTTCCTTTGTGTAAGAAAGGAATATAGCACAACTGATGGGAGAGGGAAGGCGAGGAAGAAAAAATACACATCCTGAAGCAGGTCCACTGGCAACTGTGTAATAAGCAAGTGGGCTCACAGCGCCCTGCCCAATCTACCCATTCACCCCAGAACCCAGCAACTGGGAGGGAGTGGAGGCAATATGGCAGGTGAAGAAATTGGGCTGATGGAATGTGGGGAGAGAGGTCTGGGCGAGGGGAAGCTGGGCTCCCGGTGCTCTTGTCCTCCCGTCCGCCCACCTTCAGGGTCCCAGGGGCAAGGCTGGCTTGGTGCTGACCCCCGCGGCTCCGGAGGACAGGCGATCTGGCGCCCCCCGCGCCCCCCCATCTCCAGCCGTAGCCCCGTCCCTGACGCTGCGTGTCCTTGAAGAAAGGGCGCGGGCACTGCGCAGGGCGTGCGGGCTCAGTGCGCTCTCGCACTACAACTAAGTGGCAGCGATCAACCGCGGGCCCGAGGCCTCCTAGCCCGCGCTGTCCCCAGCCCAGCGCGTCGTTCTCCTGGCCACAGCCGCCGCAGGCGTTTGCTGAGTGTCCGCGGCAGGCATTTCCCTCGGGCCCCTTCGCCCGCCCGCCCAAGAGGAACTCTCCGTGCTGCGGATGAGAAAACGGACAGTCGGAAAGCTCGTGCCTTGGGGCCTCATAAGAAAAACGTCGGAATCTGAACCCAGATCTGTCTGGTTCCAAAGCTGGGCTCGTTTCGCTCCCCTGTGGCCTGGTTCTGGGGCCTGGGCCTTAGTTCCGCGCCCAGAGGCCCCCCATCTTTCTTTTCTGCTCCCCTCACCTGCCCTTCTCCTCCCAGTGCCTCCCTGTGTCCTCTAGCCCCCCTGGCAGCCACAGGGAATTGGCACCTTGGGACAGACATGTTCTTCCGGCTTTTGTCTTTTTCTTCATTATGTAGGAGCAACCAGGAAGAAAAAGAAGAGGGAAAGTGCTGGTAAAATAAAATTAATACGAAGGTAGGGACTTCTACAAGGAAATATTTTAACCTTGATTTTCATGATTGGACAACAGGTGGGTCTACTGAGCATGTGAGTTTAGGAGAGCGAGGCCTGTCGGGAGGATGGCAAGTCTGCGGACCCAGATTTCCTCACCTGCTGCCTCAGGAGACCCTGGGCAGGACATTCAGGTGGCACTCTGGTGTCGTCTCCTTCACTCAAGTAGGATACATATTCGTCGGGGAAGAGACTTGTTTAGAGAACTACAGGCTAGATCTGGGGAAAACTTGCAGGATGCATGGTGCAAGAACCTCTCTTCCATGGAGACATCCCCCATCGTGCTTACTTGGGATGTGCAAGTAACATCAGAGCAGAAGATTGGGAGCGGAAGGATCTGCGCTCCCCCCAAGGGATTTTCCTTTTCTCCCTCCTACTGCATCTTCCTGAATGTCACATTGGGGCAGCCTCACTACCAGCACCAACAGGCCTCTGTCCCCACGTTCTCCCCTCTCACCCCCAAGAGGAGCGCTAGGTCTTGACTCTTGGAAGCAAGAGGAGATCTAGGGAAGAGGGTCAAGGGGCTAGCAAGGGGTGCATAAACTTCCAAGTGGCTTCTAACCCCTTTAGTTGATTCGTGAGGCTCTCTGTCCCCTTCCTGTCAAAACCCCTCAGCTCTTGCCTTCACAACCCTTCTCTGGCCCCTGTCACTGTTGCTAATCTGATCTTAGGAACTTCAGAGGGAAGAAGCAAACAAAACAGAATGAGTGTGTGAGATCTACCGTTGACAAGAATGCAAGGGAGCCTGGCCAGGAGGGCGGTGGCGTGAGCACAGAGATGTTTTGCTGAAGTCGGGGCCTGATGAGCGTTGGGAGAGAGGTTTGAGGAAGGAGAGGGAGAGGCTACAGGAAACCTAGCTTGGCCAAAAGAGGAACCTGGCCACACGTTTGGTTTTCCCCTCAATCCTGCCCAGCTTGCATTGCAAATCAGTTTCGTTCTTAGTGCGGTTCTTCTGTGGGGTCAGCCGCCCCTAGTTCCCCTGCCCTGGGCCCCCCTCCCCCCCCCACCGAAGGACCACACCATTCCAACTGTCCAGCACTGGATCTTCGCGTCGGTGTTGGGAAAGGTAGGGAAATGAAGGGAAGACACACGGCGAACAAGATAGCCAGGCAGCTCAGTCTCATTAAAGGGTATGAGCAAGAAGCTGGTGTGTCTGGTGGGATCCCACAAATCCTACTCAGGGCAGGGACAGATGTCACTTCTGTGTGCGCAGTTGGCAGTGGTTTCCATATCCCCAGGGCTAGAGCTGGACAGCTGAAATTTCACCCTCAGATTGAAAACCTGGAATGGGATGGAAGCGAAAAAGCCTCCCCTGCAAACTTGGCTTATGCGTGTCCTTGGGAGCAGCAGAACGTTCCCTGCCGTGTCTGAGGGGTGGTGTGTGTAAATGGCCAGACTATGCCTTTATTCCCCCCTCTCTTCGTCTAGGTGAGAGCTTCTTAATACTGCTGTCGGGGTCATCTCCTCAAATCTGAGGCAACTGAGGTGCCAGAGAAACAGCCACGGATAAGGAAGGAAACGGGGGTGGGGGGAAGGTTGGGCAGCAGCAAGAGCAACGAGTTTGTGGGTTTTTTTTTTTTTCCTTTTTTTGACTGAGGTAAATAAAAAAGCTTTATCCTGCAACACTTGGAGATAAGAGTCCGTGTACCCCACCCCCCAAGTTCCAGCCGCTGTCCCCCTCGTTCACATCAGGCTCTTCCGGTACTGACTGTGCTGAGTGGCTGGTCTGAGGTGGGAGTCGGGGCTCTGCAGGTCCATCTGTCTATACAGGTCCCTCAGCTCCCTGACTTCCTGCAGCACCCTCTTTGCTTGGCTCCAATTCGACGATGCCTCTCCCAGCAGCCGCTCTGTCTCCAGCAGCCGCTGCTCTGACTCAGAGTCAGGAGGAGACCCCGGGGGGTCCTTGGCCTTTCGCTTCCCATCTCCCAGTCCCTGAACCTCTGTCAGCAGCTCCTGAGTCTTCTCCAGTTTCCTGGCGACCAGGTCCTGGATCCGGGACAGCTGCCCCGGGTGGGGTGGAACGAGGCCTGGGGGGTCCCCGGCCCGCAGCTGGAGGGTGCAGGCCGGGGCAGCGTCCCGCTGAGACAGGATCTCCTCCAAGGAGGCACAGCGGCCTTTCTCTGCGGGGCTCAGCTTCTTGGGGGCCTGGGGCGTGTAGGTGGCCCCTTTGTCTGGCTTTTCCCAAGCCCGGGGGAGGCCGCTGGCTCGGTCTGAGGAGGGCTGGATGCGGTCTGAGTCTGCTCTCCGCCGGCTGCCGGCCAGGTGGGCCACAGACTTGTCCAGGTCCACGCGAAAGTTCTCGGCGCAAGAGGCTGGTTCCTCCGGGGAAGGGTCTTCCTCCTGGATCAGGTCCAAAGTCAGCATCCCATCCGAGGTAGAGGTGGAAGCCTAGGGAAGGAGAGGGTGGGGGTGAAGGGGGGAACTGCCATCAGTAGGTGGTTCAGGAGTGACTGTCTGTCGGAAAGACAGAGGCAAACTGGCCATTTTCCTCCTCCATCCTGACTGAGCCCTTTGACTCTCTTACTGTTTCTTATTCCTTTGATAGTGATTGGAACTTTTCTCTTATTGTTCTGTGATTTAAAGTAACTTCTCCTGCTCGTGTCCCATACTCTCCATTTTACTATAAACTTCCTGCAGAGTGCCTTTTTTTCTCCGTCTCGGGGACTCTAAGCATCAAATCGGGTTTGACACCCACAGGATGCTCCGCATGGCACAGCTGCTGTCCTTTTCCATCTGTGTCCTCTGAACCCTATGCCCCAACCGCCTCTGCCCTTTAGAGCTCAGAACCCCGTGCCTTAAAGTAAAACTTGTTCTATTTCCAGAACACTACAAGAATACAAAACAATACAGGTACTATTCGGCACCTCACGTATATCGATATATATGTTGTTTCAGTCATTCATTCCTCACAGCAGCCCTTCAAGGTAGGCATGGCGCCTGCCCCCTTTCCTGCTGAAGACCAGCGGCCTCAGGGAGGGAGTCGAGAGAGAGTAAACTGCAAAGCTAGGTTACAACCTGGTTCTGTCTGACTCCAAAGCCTGTATTCTTTCTACTATACCTGACTGCCTCTCTCTCTAGAGACCGAGAGCTCAGACAGTGAGAGGAACCAGCACTCGGTGTGTTGCGGGGGGTCACGGTGATCCTTCCTCCTGGAAGTGACTGCAGGGCCTGATGCCACCGCTGTGCAGTTAATTTCTACTCCGTGGGACAGCACTCACCTCTTCTATGTTCGCTTTCCTTGTGGGTAGATCTCATTTTCCACCAAGAATGATACATTTATTGAGGGCAAGGACTTTTGAACTCATAGTAGGTGCTAAGTAAGTATTTCTGATTTGGAGGAATCAGGCAGGGGGACGGGGTGCAGGGACTTCCTGAGCCTTTGACCTTGGTACCACAAATGCCTCTGGTGGGCTGAATACTCTTGTCTGAGACGGGCCCACATGGAGTTGGCCCTTCAACAAGTTTTACTTTCTTTTTTTTTTTTTTTTTAAAGATTTTATTTATTTATTTGACAGAGAGAGGCAGTGAAAGAGGGAACACAAGCAGGGGGAGTGGGAGAGGGAGAAGCAGGCTCCCCACTGAGCAAGGAGCCTGATGCGGGGCTCGATCCCAGGACCCTGGGATCATGACCTGAGCCAAGGCAGACGCTTAACCAACTGAGCCACCCAGGTGGCTATTGCATCTAAATCTGCCGGCTATCGTAGTTGTTTCTCTGGGCACCCTCGCCGGAGTGAGAAACATGAAGGATCTGTAAAAGACAGAAAATAGGTTTGATGGCTTGAATAGAAACTTATGTCAGGGGAGAATGAGAAATGGGCCATCTGTGTAAGGCCACGCCCTTTCATCTAAGCCCATTTGTCCTCTCCCACTGCTGTTGGAAGAGTTCATCCCGGATGTACCCATTTTTCAGTTGCATGATTTTGAGAGTCTCCAGCTTCAGTTCCCCTATCAGTAAAATGGGCATAATTAGTCCTGGTTGGCACAAGTACTGAGAAGGTTAATAAGCCAATGGATATGAATGGGCCTATTTTACTTTTTCCAAGGCCTTCACAGAATGGAATTTGTACAAGGCAATATGTGATCCAATCCAAGACAGTGAAGCATAATCTATTCTTTCCTGGGATGTGCCTGCCAGTGGCCAAGGTAAGCCTCAGCCTGTGTGCTTTATTTAAACAATTCCTGAAAGTTCATCACCTTTTGGAAAATATTACCAAATTTCTTACCTATCACCTTTAGGAAAATATTACCAAATTGTATATCACTCTGTGGTTGGCAAAGAGACCTTAGCAACAGTGGTCTCATATAAGCCTCCAGGAAACCATCCAGAGTAAGTAAGGCATATTTGATTCCCAGGTAGTGGGCGGTATAACAGGCTCAGAGAGATTGATGTAAAGAAACTGAGACTCAGAGAAGACACAGAAATAATAAACAGCAGAGATCAGGAATAGGTCTCCTCTAGACTACTTACAGGACTGATGAGGTGAGAGATAACAGCCCTGCTCTCAGTCTGCCTAGGCTTGCGATTCTCGTGTCTGTTTTCCCAGTTTTCCCCAGTCATATTTTACATCCTAGTAAAATGTATGTCACTTTTAAAATAATTTTATTAAAGATTCTATTTATTTGTCAGAGAGAGAGAGCATGAGCTCTCTCTTACGATAACCCTATGAGGTAAGCAGAGCAAATAGGAGTAATTCCACTTTGCAATGAGGAAATAGATTTAGGAATTGAGACCTGCCCAAGGTTAAACACCCAGTAAGGAGCAGAGCCAGAATGGGAACCCGACTCTTTGGTCAACAACTTCAATGCCCTTTTTATACTTTCGTTAATGTTATTAGGCTTTTTATTATGCTTTTATTGTACATTTGTAACTTTTTCTAAAATTCAAATTAGATAACCTTGTGTAGACATTCATTACAAAACATTTATTGAGTACCTTGGTAAACTGGTCAGCATCTAGTTACAAGAAAAGTAAATAAACAGTTACAGTCAAAGATATAACATAGTTTGCAATTTGGAGATTTAATAAATGGTTTTTAATGACAGCATGGTGACAACTTTTCCTCAAAAGGTAATAATCACAATTGACTTTTGTAAAAAGTGGGAGAAGGAAGTCACATACACACATACCCGTGTGTGTGTAACACACACAACCCTGCCCCCCATCAGTGAAAATCATCTGAATTTTCCATGCCAGTAAGTAACTGGCATTTTCTTGGCATACTGACCGGCAGGGGATTACAGGCTGCCGTGTTGTGTATCAGCAGAGGATGTCAAGTGGATTTCGGTATTCTGTTACTTTGATGTCACTGTCCAGCATTGTCTGGTCTTTTCCTTGCTAACAGATACCACAACATCATGTGAAAAAAAGAGAATTTGTAATAATTTCCTTTGTAAACAGCATATTTCTTGCTTGATAATGAAGACTTTGTTTACAGAAGTCCTCTTGCTATTTTGGGGCCATAATTGGTTATTGGTCTGCTCATCCTTCTTAGTTCTCCAGGGCAAATGTGACCTGGAGCAGATTCTAAGAGAGGAGGGATGGGGCAACGACTTAGAGATCAAAGATTAGACAGAACAGTACCTTCAGAGCGCTAGATTTGGAATTAAAAAAAAAAAGAAGAAGAGCAAAACTCCTCTATATAGTGAAGAATTAACTTTACGCAAAGAAAAGGGAAGAGTTGAAGCAGAGCTATGACTTTTGCCCTCTGCTCCCGGGAGGTGATCTCTAGGCATCTAGAATGTTCCACTTCATAGGGGCGTCTTTGCTCTGAGGCTGAGGCTGGCGACTGGACAGTCTAACGGTGTGATTTGTGACAGCTTTGGAACATGCTGTATCAGTTCCAGCCTCCAGAGGAGCTGAACACTGTGGGTCAGCAGTGTGGGCAGTGTGTGATTGAGCCCTAGTAAAAGCTCCGGACTCCAAGGACTTGGTTAAGGGTCCCTGGTTGGCAACACTCGAGGATTGTCCCACATTGTAACCAGGAGGAGGTAATGCCATCCAGGACTCCACAGATGATGAGAAGCTTTGTGTTTGGGCCCTGCAGATTTCACCCCATCTGTCTCTTCTTTTGGCTGGTTCTGATTTGTATCCTTTTGTTATAATAAAACTTTCACTGGGGGGCGCCTGGGTGGCTCAGTCGTTAAGCGTCTGCCTTCGGCTCAGGTCACGATCTTGGGGTCCTGGGATCGAGCCCCGTGTTGGGCTCTTCGCTTAGTGGGGCTCCACTGCTTCTTCCTCTCCTTCTCCTTCTG